GTTCCCTCCTGCTCCCTTCATGCCCCCTCCGTCTCTCCCTCGTCCCGTCCCCTTGGCCCCTGTATGGTTCCCTCCGGCTCCCTTCTTCCCCTCGCCTGCAGCCCCTCCGGCCACCGCCCGTCGCCTGTCTGAGCTCCCTCGGGCTTCGCTCCTCCCTCCTTTTCCTTTCGTCCCGCCTGTCTCTGCCCCTTGTCCCTTTGTTCCGTCTCTGTTCACCCCTGGCCCCTTTGTGTCGCCTGTGGGTGTTCCTTCTGTGCCCCCCGTGCCCCCCTCGTTACCTCGTGTGATTCCCTGATTGTTCTCACCTGTGACTCGTTACCAGTAGCTTGTCTTTTGTATTTAGTCCTTGTCTCAGTCAGTCTACCCAGATCCGTCATTGTATTGTTTCGATGTTTGTTCCTGTCAGCCTTCCCTCCGTGAATAAACCCCGTTTGTCCGTATTTACGGCTCCAGTCGCCTGCTTTCCGGCTCGCCTGACCCCAATCGTGACAATAACTTTGCCCAACACTGACAATAACATTTAATATATCCAAACCATCTGCAAAACTGCTAAAATAATTAACATTTAATAAATGCAAACCATCTGAAAAACACCTAAAACTAAATTCTAAATCTCATCCCTCCCCAAATTGCCTACTGCAAGCTCCATGTTATTTTTAAACTCATTGTATGTTTGGCCCACTGGCAGGTGGAGCACCAGAGAACGTGTGTTTGCCTTTGGGAACCCGGCCAGTCCATCCTCTGGGTGCAAAAATGCTAACTCTGGCTGCACCTCAAAACCCATTGCCGGGATTCGTCTGAAGCCTGTCGCAAAAATGAGGACGTGTTCCAGAGTGATTGGATGAGCAAGTGCCCCTGAAAGTAAATAGAAAAAGGTATGAAAGAAAACCAAAAGGGCTGTTCCATTTAATCCCTAAAGTATACTGATATTTTTAACTTGGCACAGGGAGACGTACCTTCTATATCCAGGAGCCAATCCTTCCAAAAGGCAATGGTCCTGGCTTCCAGCTGTCTCCGATTACATCCTGGCAATGATCTACATCTGGCTTGGAAAAGCCCCACAAGATCACTGGCCTTCAGGGATGATGTGTCCTGGAGGAAGATTTTCTCAAAAGCTTGAGGGTGTAAGATGATTTCCTCCAGGACCCCAAGCGTATTCAGTCCTTCTCTGACTCTGACACCAGAAAAAAGGTGAATTAATTGTCACTGCAGTATTACTAGGGTGACACAGTGTCGCTGCTGCCTGGGTTCGGTCCCTGGGTCAGGGTTAGGGTCAGGGTCAGGGTCAGGGTTAGGGTCAGGGTTAGGGTTAGGGTTAGGGTCAGGGTTAGGATCTTTCTGTGTGAAGTTCGCGTGGGTTTTCGCCGGGGGCTCCGGGTTCTTCCCACGGTCCAAAAGCGTGCAGGATAGGTTGATTGGTGAGTCTAAAATTGGCCCTGTAGTTGTGTGTGAGTGTGTGTGTGAGTGTACGTGTGAGTGTGCGTGTGAGTGTACGTGTGAGTGTGTGTACGTGTGAGTGTACGTGTGAGTGTGTGTGCCCTGCAGCATGTTGGTGACTGCGAAGGGTTGGTTCCCACCTGCGCCCCCAGTTGGGATTAAGCGGTTTTAGAAAATGGATGGATGGATAGATGGATGGATGTACTATTACTAATACTGTATGTACTTCTGCACATGCTGTTAAAATTCAGGACAATGGCTGACAAAAGTGCAACCAAGTATGAGAAGTGTAGGTAGTGTCAAATAAGGGCAAGTTTTCTGCTTGAAATACAGACTTACTGTTGGATGGCTGCTTGTATTCGCCCCTCACAGTAAAAATGGAGCACAGCCTCCATCAGCTGCTTACTGTCATCCAAAGACTGAAGGTGCCTCAGAGCTCCCATCGGAGCCAACTCATCCGCTGCTTCATTAACAGCCCGTCTGGCATCCTCAAGCGTCTCTGCACTGCTTATCTGAAATTATACAAACAGAAACACCTGGCAAACTAAACGCAAATTAATGAGTAAAAACATTACTTTTTTTTGTCCGATGTAATATCTCAAACTGTATCAAATACTGGACTTTACTGTGATTATGGGCAACCTTTTCAGGGCCTTGCATATTAGTAAAGTAGCCATAATTACAGGAAAGAAAAACCTATTAACTCATAGTTGCTTTTTATAATTCTTAACTGCATATATGCACATTGTAATGCATAAACAGGTTTAATTGATATAGTAAATGTAAAACTTTATGGAACCAGTAATAACATTAGCTACTTTGTAGTTACCTAACAAGGTAAAGGTAAATGTACTTCATTGAACCACTGTTTCACATTTGGACATTTTAGTATTTACAAAAGGTAAGTTAACAAAAGATAAGTCCATGAAAGGTAAGTACATGTTTGCAGTGTGCCATGAAACTTGCCTTCTCCAGTTTAGTCCTTAGACCATGGTCTACCACTTCTTCAATGGTTGCTGGGACAGATGGAAGACTTAGGACTTGGTTGAAAAGCCTTTGTGAAAAAAAGTGAGGGGACACACCCCCCTGGATCAGGCAAACAGCCAACATTTGCCCTACAATTCTGTAGGTGTTGTTGTGAAGGGCTACAAACGAAAAGAGACATTGGGTAATCAAGCATGGTAATGTAATGTTAAAACATGATCTCTGGGCTCTTTATTAGGAACACATGTACACTTTCTCATTTCTGTTGTTGTCTAATCAGCCAGACATGCGGCAGCAGTACACTGCATTAAATCATGCAGATTCAGGTCAAGCTATTCACTTAATGTTCATATCATAAAGCAACTCAGCATGCATATTAGATCTTAAGGTGTGTGACTCTGGGATTCACTCCTGTCAGCCAAGAACAGGAATGTAACAGGAATCTGGGTTTCCAATGGGCACATTTACCCAATCTGGACAGATGGGGTTGCTTTTCTGTTCACAGTGGCTATAGAGTGTGATTATTTGAATTACTACACACTCACCACATGTCAGTTCAGAGCAGTATGGTCATTCTTCCCTGGCTTTTCTCGTTAACTCAATGTATCAGCCTACAAACCCTCTGCTCGCAGGTGTAAATTTTAGAGACACAAATGAAAATCCCAAAAGATCAGCAGCGGTTTGTGTAATACTCAAACCAGCCCATGTAATACCAATAACCATGCCATAGATATCTTTAAGATCTCATTTCCCCCTCATTACGATGATTGATGTGAACAGTAACTCAAGCCTATATCTGCAAGAATTATGCATTATGCTGCTGCCACTCGAGTTTCTGATTGGATATTTCAATTATTGAGTAGGTGAACAGGTGTTCCATATGAAGCAGACAATCAGTACAAACCTCTGCTGCACATGCATAACTCCCACAATCATCTGGCATTATTAAAAATGATCTGATTTGTACAGCTTTTTAATGAATGGTTAATCAGTTATGTCTATGTTGTTTGTGTACAAACATACCAACACTGTCAAGGGCCAGGTTACGTGCTTCTAGGGGCCCTTCAAATATCTGGTGTCCTTGGAGCTGTCTCAGTAGAAGTCTGCAAAACTCCCTGGTAGGTCCACATTCATCTATGGCCCCTTCTCCTTGACCATCCTCATCAATAAAAATGATGTCTAATTTTGACTCTGGATCAAAGGCTGGCCGTCTGAAGGCTCTCAAAGCACAGTCAAATTCTTCATTACGAAGAACATTTATCTGATTGGCTGGTGGAGTGAGGCGATGGACCCTTAACTTCAGAGTCTTAAGTCTTGCAGCAATGTCAAAAGGCCTATATTAAGAGAGGGAGATTAGAGAGCAGTGTTTGTTTACTGGCATGCACAAACAAAATTATGGTCTGCAATGTCAGTTTACTACACATTTTAATGCAGACCATAATTTGTTTAGTAACTATACAAAAGTAGTATTTTAGTATTTGTACAATAGAACAACATTTGTTCCTTAAAAACAATGGTCTCTTCAAAAATATGTACAGGTACGTACTCTTCAGGGTTTGGCATTGAGGGAGTGGAGGAAATATATACGGGACTGTGTCTTGGAGAGGACGGAGAGTCAACAGCAGGGATTGTGATGGGAGGAGAGGGAGCAGGGGGAAAGGTGGAGACACTGATTGGTGGAGACGGAGCAGGGGGAAAGGTGGGGACACTGATTGGTGGAGACGGAGCAGGGGGAAAGTTGGAGACACTGATTGGTGGAGACGGAGCAGGGGGAAAGGGGGAGACACTGATTGGTGGAGACGGAGCAGGGGGAAAGGTGGAGACTGTGGTAGGTGGGGCAGCTGACGATTGATTCTGAGCCATGGAGTTGTTTGATGTTATATCCTAAAATGAATTCAGAAATAAAATTAGCATGACTGTAGCTTAGCCAGACTTAAAGCACTTTTAGGACCTATGTAAGTTAATTTCCCAGTGGTTTAAAGCGTTTTTCAAGGAACATTTGTTTCTTGGGTCAAAATGCATATTTCTGCAATATTAATTCATCACTGATGCCCTCATAAAACAGTGCTAAGGCTCTCACCTCCACTTCATCCCCTGACATCCACAAAATGTACAAGGTACATGGTGCAGTAATGCCATTGTCTACTATGGAACCTTCCTTGGTGCTTAGGAGTGAGGTCGGTGACATGGCCACCTGAAGTGAAAACGTCTCACTGGCCATTTCATCACAGCCTGCAAAGGCAACTAGATCCTGCAAAATGAAACGTACAATGTGTATCAAATTTATTTATTTATTTTATCTAGCTAGCTCTGAACACTGAGTCGAAGAATAAGTGGGGTTAGAGAGATTTACTTGGAATGGTTGACCAGGTAGAAAGCGTCTCTGTTTTAAGCCACCATCAGGATACTTGAATTGAATGGTCATCCCATTTTCAGCCTCTGGTATGCCATTGATTTTTTCTTTTCTGGTATTTATGACCTACAAAACATAATATATCTTATGCGATAAATGACAATGTAGGATATATACTGTAAATATATATATATATATATATATATATATATACGGTAAATGACTTACCTGTACTCTTCTCAGTTCCCGCTCCTGCCCTCGACTTCTCTCCTGATGTCATATGAAACTTTATTTTAAGTGATATTCAACTGAACAGAAGAAGGAGCTTAAGAGAGAATTTAAAAGAGAAATTATATTGCTTATGTAGAAGGACCTGCCCATATGAAAATGTCTGCATTTTCCTACCGTTTCTCTGTCTACTGAAAGTGAATGTTGAAATTCTTCATCCTGCTGGCTGCGAAGGGCATGCCATTCCGGCACGCCTGCGAGTTCAACAGCTTGCTCTGGAATCATGTCCTGAAATTACAGAAGCCATTGTTAAAGTACTACAGCCATTCACAAAAGGAGCATCTCAATAGATTCCTTGGCAGAAAATGTACACTGACAATAATATAGTACAGTAGTAATATAAATTATTTGCTATTACGTAATGATGACAAGCAAATTAATGAATAAAGAAATAAATGATTACTATAGGTAAAAAATTATAATCGGTAATAAATTGCCTTAGAGTTTACTGACAGCATTTTGATGTAAGGATACAAATTAAAGACCCATCTAATACCTTCTCCTTCTCCTCAAACTGGTTTTGTTCTTCCTCCACCTCAAACCTGATTTCTTCTTCCTCCTCCTCAAACTTGATTTGTTCCTTCAACATAACCGTGTCATCCACATCCCTGAGCTCTTCTTCCTCACTGTCCTAAGAAATTGAGGATGAAACAATAATATATTTTTATGTTTATTCATACAACTGCAATAAAGCCAATTCAAAAATAAACAGCAAATAAATTATTTGCAATTACATAGCAATGACAAGAAAATTAATAAAGTAATAAATGATTACTATAGGCAAAAAATATATAATTAGTAATAAATCACATAAGAGTTTACTGACAGCCTTTTTGATATAAGGATACCAATTAAAGACCCATCTAATACCTCCTCTTCCTCCTCCTCAAACTGGTTTTGTTCTTCTTCCTCCTCAGACCTGATTTGTTCCTCCAACATAACCGTGTCATCCACATCCCTGAGCTCTTCTTCCTCGCTGTCCTAAGAAATTGAGGATGAAACAATAATATATTTTTATGTTCTTACTGCAATAAAGGCGATTAAAAAATAAACAGCAAATAAATGATTTGCAATTACATAATAATAACAAGAAAATTAATAAAGTAATAAATGATTACTATAGGCAAAAAATTATACTTAGTAATAAATCGCCTTAGAGTTTACTGACAGCCTTTTTGATATAAGGATACCAACTAAAGACCCCATCTTATACCTCCTCCTCCTCCTCTTCCTCCTCCTCAAACTGGTTTTGTTCCTCCAACATATCCCTGTCACCCACAATCCTGAACTCCTCTTCCCCATTGTCCTATGAAATTGACAATGAATCAATAATATATATTTATGTTCTTATTCATATAACTGCAATAAATTAAAAAATATTGCAAATAACCTTTGTGTATGTTGAATTTACTTTTTTCCCCACAAATTTTATTGTTATGGCCTATGTGAAATTTGAGAGGCTTTGGAAGTCGATTCAATTGATAGTAACATACCTTTGGTCTGATGTATACAGCTGATCTTCTCAGCTCAGGACATGCAATTATAGAAATGGGACAGATAGAGGGGAGATCCAGTTTGTGGATTCTCCTACGTCTGTCAACTCTGTAAAGGGAGAAGTCACCCTGTAAACGAGGGAATTCTTCTCTTATTTTCTTAATGAATGCACTCTCTGGCATGGAGAGTGGCACCACAATTTTCTTTACTGATGACCCTGCTGTTGTGGAAAAATGAAAACCACAAATGTAATTGGATGATAGGGTTTTCTTTCTATAATTTAACAAATAAAACAACTCAGTTACTGAAACCCACAACATTCAGTTAGTCTTACTATTATTAAACCAGCTACCCTAGATTGTTAGAGAATTATCTTAAATCCCAGTTGATTTCATTTGTCTTGGTTAAGCATCTCTATATAAAGGTTAAGTAAGCAGGAGTTATAAGCAATCTCTGTCCCTTTCTAAGCCTGCTCTACCAACTTACCCCTTGGTATAAATATAGAATCTCTGCTATTTGGCAGAATAGCCATTCGTATTGTGGTTAGCCGCTGTCTGACTCGTACTGTCCTTCTGGCCTTCTGACCTTTATAAAAAACAAGCACATCAGATCGGCAAATTAATTTATGTTAGCAAATGTGAAATAAAGACAGTTAAAAAAATGACAATTTTCATATGGTGCCTGATAGAGCCTTTTCAATGAATGTTCTGAATGTTAATTATTGTATTAGCATTTTTAAATTCTCAATTCGATGGGCTACAGTTTTCCATATTTTTAACTTATCTAATAAGCCAGGGTACAAATATGGACAAATCTATCTGGATTGTTCTGAATCTGGACACAGTGGGCACAGCACATGTAATCCACGTAGATTTTACGTGGATATTTGGTGAAGTGGTGGATCCGCCAATTTGCACCTGATAACCACATAGATTTCATGTGATTTTAGGCACGTATGAAAGATGTACTAAATGTACTAACTTAAGTTCCATGTGGAGGTGTATATCCCACTATAAGTCTTTGCCTAATTAACTGGAAATCACATGTAAATTAAATGGCATGTAATATGATTACAATGTATTAATTAAAAACTGTTAGAGAAACTGATCCTGAAAATCCATGGGGTGTGCATTGTCCCACAGGATCCCCTGATCAAGGCACACTTCATAGGACATGGCTGTCCCATTTTGTTTTAGAGCTATTAACCCCTTAGTATGCTGCCCCATTGCACTTTAAGTGGATGGAATATAATAATTAATAACTATTACAGACAAAAATAATCTGAAAATCCAAGGGGTGTGCATTGTTCCCTGTAGTCCACTGATCAAAGCACACTTCACTAGATGTGCCTGTCTTGTCTAGTTTTGAAGTTATTAACCCATTCATGTATTGTCCCATTGCATATTATACAGATACATTCAAACATTCAAAAATTAATAAAAATTCGTACGTAAAGCAACCTGGGAAACAAAGGCGTGTGCAACAGTCACCATGAGCCCAAAATGCTAAAGCACCACGTCATTATAGCTGACAGGACCTATTATATTACCTATTAACATCATTTGGCACAAATCGCAAAATGGTTTGAAGCGCAAAAATAATCAGTGTGCATCGTTCTCTGTGTACTGGACATCACAATTTTGTCATTAAAAACCTTACTTCAGTTAAAAGTTATTAAAGCCAGAAAACTGAATATCGAATATGAGGCTAAATTAGCCGCGGTTGCTAACCTCTGGCTTATTCCTTATCATCACTGCACCATCACTGTCTTTAAACAAAACGTCACATCCTTTAGCATGCCTACGCTACGCTAGCTCGACAAGATGATTTTTTCACTCTGCTGCGCCCAAAACATTAACACGCACGCCACATCATTTCCTATGCATGCCACTTATTTTGCCGTATATGTCACCAACCTAGCTGAAAGGCCAGGCCAGTGTACTCCAAAAAAAAAATAAGAAATAAGGCGACAGAGTCCTATGTTGGGCGAGAAAAACAGCGACACGTTTCCGCAACAGTGCTTCCGTGCAGGATTTTTTCCAAGATCATTTCTCAAACTTAGAAACAGCTTAATACAAAAAAAAGAAAATGCAATATATCTGCACAACAGTATGTAAATATTGTAATACTGCAATAGATGTGTAAGCATTAATCACATTTCAATTATTATGGAAAGATTACAATAACCCTCTAGTGCAATCAATAACTCGTGTTCACAATTCAAATGAGAAAACATACAGTGTGTGTGTGCACACATATATATATATATATATATATATTAGGGCTGTCAAAATTAACGGGTTAACGCGGATTAATCCAACATCATGATTAATCTGATAAAAAATTTTAACGCAATTAACCCATCTGCAGCGCAGAATGATTTAAAATCCCTGAAATGTCTCTGTCAGCCCATTTCGGGCAGTTTTGGTGCGTTCCGTTTGGCCTCGGAACTCGTACTCCAGCGCGGAGGAGGAAAGTGTGTGTGTATATATATATAGTGGACGGAGTACCCAGAGGAAACCCCACGACGACATGGGGAGAGCATGCAAACTCCACACACAAGTGACCCAAGCGGAGACTCAAACCCAGGTCCCAGAGGTGTGAGGCAACAGTGCTAACCACTGCACCACCATGCCACCCCTATCCACGATATTCTACAGGAATATTGTAGAACTTCTACAGGAAAATCGTTAACCAGCAGGAGGAGAAGCTTTGTTTCCCCTTTCTGGTTGTACCTTATAGACTCTGGTCCGTCTCCTATTCTTTCCACCAAGTGATGTACAGGTACATCCTTCTCCCAATAGTCCCTCAACTTTCCAGGTCCTCCTCTTTGAGAAAGGTTGCGGACCACCACTCTATGACCAGGCTGGAGGATAGCCCCCTTTACCTTTGTTTGACGACTTGCGGCTGTTCTCAGCTGCAATTCTGTAAGCTTTCTTCATCCTTGCAGCCCATCTTGGGGGCGCTGCCATAAAAGAGAAAAAATGGCGAGTAACCCACTGACTCATGCTTTATATGCATGTACAATGTGTGGTAGATGATTGCTCCATTCATTTTTTTTTTCTTCTTGGAGAGTGCGTAACATCTGGAGGAGAGTCCTATTAAATCTTTCTGCCGGACTGCACTGCGGATGATATGGTGTGGTGTGTGAGTGTGAAATGCCAGACAACTGTTGCAGTCTCTGAAAGAGGCTATTCCCAAACTCACAACTTTGATCGTGATGAAGCTTTTCGGGGTATCCGAGATGGGGATAAAGTCATAAAAAAATCTTTTCAGCTGCCGTTTTGCCAGATTTATTCCTTGTTGGATAAGCCTGTGTAGTGCTGGGCGATCCAGATATGGTTTTGTTCATTTGAGCTATGTTTCTTTGAATACTTCAAAATCAATAACCTTTTATAATTTTAAGGGAATTTTGTATGTAAACAGTAAAATTTGTTGGAAAATAATTATTTGTTTACTAATATTGTTTATTTCCATGTATTCATTATTCATAGCAGAATAGGGTTATTTTTATTATTATTTTGATTATTACATTATTACATGGAACAGCATTGTGAAACTATAATATTGATAATTATCGATATCAGTCAATACAGGAAAAAATATTGTGATATTTTTTTTTGCCATATCGCCCAGCTCTAAGCCTGTGCATAGCTTGTGAAGTGATCAATCAGAATTAGAATATATTCATGCCCTCTTTTACTAGGATCCAGATGTAGGTAATCAATACTGACTAATTCGAATGGTATAGTGGTCGAGATTGAACCCATTGGTGCTCTCTGTGGAATCGTAGGGCTAGATAAATGACTTTATCTGCCCCAAAATGGGCCATATCATCATGCAAGTTCCTCAACACAAGAGACTTCAACTTGTGGGGTAGAACTAACTGCTTGTATTGTCCCGTCACCTGGTACAATATTCCATCTTTAACCACAAGTTTGTTCCATTCATACAGGAGTCTCCTGGTCCCTCTATCAATTGTTCTTTTGTCATTTTTATTTGCTATCCATCCATTTTCTTTCAAGGAGATGACTTCTTTAATGGATGCGTCTTCATGCTGTGCAGCTTTTATATTTTCTGGTGTCACAATGTTCTGTGATGATGCAACCTCCTCCTCACTGGTGTTAAGCTGTACAAGTTAAACACCATGGGATGTCATTATCTTTTGCTGCTTTGATGCCTTGCCATACGGCAGACACTGTCTCTGGGGACACGGTTTCCGTATGTTCCTCCATGTCTTATTTCACTGGGTATCTTAACAAAGTATCGACATCTGCATTCATCTTGCCCGGACCGTATTTAATCTCAAAGTGGAAATCGGCTAGTTCCCCAACCCAGCAGTGTCCAATGGCATTTAACCTTGCAGTACTCAGAATATATGTTAACAGATTATTATCTGTGTACACTGTGAATGTGGGTGCATAATACAGGTAATCACGAAACCGGTCACAGATCGCCCACTTGAGTGCTAGAAATTCCAGTTTACCTGAGTGTAGGTGATAATTCTTTTCTGCAGGGGTTAAGGTCTGTGAACCATAGGCAATGACACGAAGTCGGTTGTCCTGCCGTTGGTAAAGAACCTCAGCCAACCCATCACCGGATGCGTCAGTATGCAACACAAATGACAGGTCGAAGTCGGGGTAGGCTAGGACAGGGGGATTTGTGAGCATCTCTACCAACTTTGAGACTACTCCCTGGTGTTCCTCTGTCCAGTCAACGGGCTTCCTGGAAGGTACATGCCCTCTATCTTTACCATCTGCCTTATTCTTGGGTTTACTAGACTGGCATTTTGTACCCCAGTTGGCTTCTTCTGAACTCTGGAGGAGGACAGGCTAAGTGGGAGAAGTCTTGGATAAAAGATCTATAATAGCCCAGGAATCCAAGTAGAGACCAAACCTCACCAGCTGTCTGGGGTTTCTTCTCTTTAATGGCCCAAACTGCCTCCAAGTCTTTTGGATCAATTTGAATCCCCTCTCCGGACAACAGACGTCCGATGTAACGTACTTGTCTCTTGAAAAGTTTGCACTTCTGTGGACGGAGCTTAATACCATGTTTTCTCATTTGAGCCAACACCTGCCTAAGGTGATTCACATGTTTGTCAAAAGTTTTAGAGTAGCAGAGGACATCATCTAGATATGGAACACAGCACTCATCCCTAATACTCTCCAACACTCCCTCCATGCACCGCTGAAATGCTGCTGGAGCATTAGTAAGCCCAAAAGGAATACGGGCCCATTCATATAGGACTCAAGGGGTGCTGAAAGCCGTGAGATGCCTGGACTCCTCGCCGACGAAACCCTGATGATAGGCACTGCCTTGATCCAAGTTGCAGAACCATGAATATCCACCAAGACTATCTAGCAGATCCTGTATTCTAGGCAGTGGATGATGGTCAGGCACTGTCTTTCGATTGAGCTCTACATAAAGCCGTAAGCCACTGTCTTTCTTGTGAACACATACTGCTGAGGAGTATGGTGAAATTGATTTCCTGATCCAGCCTCTATCCAGAACATTGTGCGCATAGTCTTTAACTTCCTGAGAAAGAGGTCTCGGGATGGAGTTATAACATTTCTGGACTGGGTTGTCATCAGTCAGGTTGACCTTGGGATGCATCCAATGTCTCCTACATGCCTCGCAAAGACATCAGACTCTTCATATAACATTTGTCTTACCACCCCTTGATCTTCCGCTGGTAAGTGACTTAAATCGACTGTAGAATGCCACTTTTCTCTAAAACTGGTAACATCCTCTGTCGTCCTCAAGCCATCAGTTCCCCTGTCATTATCGCATGTCTGAGATGAACAGAGGAAGGCACCAAGGCCTCTGGTGGTATCATCTGTAGCTCCAGAATTTATGCGTACCCGTCTACATTCTACTGTTAGCTCAACAGTTTCAAGCACAGTCCTCTGGGGTAAGTATATGTCATGTCAGGTGGGGTTCTGGATAGGGATCCTCACTGTCTTTGAAACACCAGAGGGCACATCTACCAAGGCGGGGAACAGTTCAAAACCATCTGGATGCTTCTGTTCTATCATGGGTCCAAACATTATCATCCCTCCATATGGCCAGACCCTCACACGACACTTCAATTCTCATACCTGCCCAGCATGAATTATGAGTCCCCTTTTTCCACTCCTTATTTTACAGTCCTTAGACCCATCTCTCAGAGACATTGCACTGATGGTAGATATTAGACTTTCCACTGTATATTTCTGCATGTCCGTGACCTCAAAAGATTACAGAAATTGATGCCATCACTTTCTTTCATCAGCTCCTCAATCACGTTAACACCCAGGAGCGGCACATCACCACAGCTTTGACTTACGAGCATTGGTTTGACCATGTCTGTTGCTCTTAATCTCAAGGAGAATATCTCAGTTTATATCTCGCTGAAATCTTAATGTAAAATCATGAAAACAAACGCTGGCTAAATCCGTAATCTGTGTTCTTTTCAAAACGTCCATTGTCGGAAGTATTAAAGTTTTTTAAATTAGGTTAAATCGGCAAAAAAGTAAACCATGTCATCTTACTTTGTTTTACCTGCATTGGGGGCGTGTAGTACCGCTGTTACCCGAAGATCGCTATTCACATTATAAATAGCATTAGCTCGCATTCAAATCACATTCGCATGGTAATTTGATTAACAGCGCAACGGTGAAACGCGATCCAGATACATCGTCTTCATCGTCATAAAAGGGGGGTAGGGACGTGGCCAGGTGACAATGGCTCATTCATACACATGAAAGTTGCTACATATTCAATGAAAGGAGCCAGAAATAGTGACATGACTTAGGTTTTCTTATTTATTTATCCAAATAGTCATCTTCATGTAGCCAAGAATTTGGTGATCAGATATCTGAGATCAAAACAAACTGCCAGCATTGCTTACTATGTACTTTTATAATATTTCTGCAAGTGTTCCAAACTACATTTTGCAATGTGTATATTTTGATGTCAAATTACAAACTTAAAAATCTGACATATTTACAATATACATTAAAATAACGATGAGTATAATGGCAAACAAATATATAAGAAATAATTTATTTGCCATGAATTAAGTTTATCCTCTCCTAGAGCCAACACCTTATCGTGGCGGAGAGGTTTGCGTGTTCCAATGATCCCAGGAGCTAAGTTACCTGGGGCTTTAAGCCCCTGGTAGGGTCACCCAAGGCAAACAGGTCCTGGGCGAGGAACCAAAGTGCGGCTCACAAGACCCCTTATGATGAATAAAAACATAGATTCACGTTTTCCCTTGCCCGGACGCGGGTCACCAGGGCCCCCCCCTGGAGCCAGGCCTGGGGGTGGGGCTCGATGGCGAGCGCCTGGTGGCCTGGCCTACACCCATGGGGCCTGGTCGGGCACAGCCTGAACAAGGCACGTGGGTCCCCTTTCCAATGGGCTCACCACCTGTAGGAGGGGCCATAGGGGTCGGGTGCAGTGTGGGTTGGGCAGTGGCCGAAGGCGGGGACCTTGGCGGTCCGATCCTCGGCTGCATAAGCTAGCTCTAGGGACATGGAATGTCACCTCTCTGGTGGGGAAGGAGCCTGAGCTGGTGCGCGAGGCTGTGAGGTTCCGACTAGATGTAGTCAGGCTCACCTCGACGCACGGCTTGGGCTCTGGAACCAGTCTCCTCGAAGGGGGTTGGACCCTCTTCCACTCTGGAGTTGCTCACGGGGAGAGGCGCCGAGCTGGCTGGGCGCCTGTACATTGGGGTTTACCGCAGTGGACGAGAGGGTAGCCTCCCTTCGCCTTCGAGTGGGGGGACGGGTCCTGACTGTTGTTTGCGCTTATGCGCCAAATGGCAGTTCAGAATACCCACCCTTTTTGGAGTCCTTGGAAGGGGTGTTGGAGAGCGCTCCTCCCGGGGACTCTCTTGTTCTGCTGGGGGACTTCAATGCTCACGTGGGCAATGACAGTGAGACCTGGAGGGGCGTGATTGGGAGGAACGGCCCCCCCGATCTGAACCAGAGTGGTGTTTTGTTGTTGGATTTCTGTGCTCGTCATGGATTCTCCATAATGAACACTATATTCAAGTATAAGGGTGTCCATATGTGCACTTGGCACTAGGACACCCTAGGCTGCAGTTCGATGATCGACTTTGTGGTCGTATCATCGGACTTGCGGCCTCATTTATTGGACACTCGGGTGAGGAGAGGGGTGGAGCTGTCAACCGATCACCACCTGGTGGTGGGTTGGCTCTGCTGGTGGGGGAGGAAGCCGGTCAGACCTGGCAGACCCAAACGTATAGTGTGGGTCTGCTGGGAACGTCTGGCGGAATCCCCTGTCAGAGGGAGTTTCAACTCCTACCTCCGGCAGAACTTCGCCCATGTCCCAGGGAAGGCGGGGGACATCGAGTCCGAATGGGCCATGTTCCGCGCCTCCGTTGTGGAGGCAGCTGACCAGAGCTGTGGCCATAAGGTGGTCGGTGCTTGTCGCGGCGGCAATCCCCAAACCCGCTGGTGGACACCGGCAGTGAGGGATGTTGTCAAGCTGAAGAAGGAGTCCAATCGGGCCTTTTTGGCCTGTGAGACTCCGGAAGCAGCTGATGAGTACCGGCAGGCTAAGCGGAATGCGGCTTCGGCGGTCACTGAGGCAAAAACTTGGGTATGGGAGAATGGAGAATGACTTCTGGACGGCTTTGAGGAGATTCTGGTCCACCATCCGGTGTCTCAGGGTGGGAAAGTGGTGCAGCATCAACACTGTTTATGGTGGGGATGGTGCGCTGCTGACCTCAACTCGGGACGTTGTGGGTTGGTGGAAGGAATACTTCGAAGACCTCCTCAATCCCACCGACACACCTTCCAATGAGGAAGCAGAGTCTGGGGACTTGGGGTCGACTCACCTATCTCTGGGGCAGAGGTCGCTGAGGTGATTAAAAAGCTCCTCGGTGGCCGGGCCCCGGGGATGGATGAGATCCGCCCGGAGTTCCTCAAGGCTCTGGATGTTGCGGGGCTGTCTTGGTTGACAAGGATCTGCGGCATCGCGTGGACATCGGGGGCGGACCGGGGTGGTGGTCCCCATCTTCAAGAAGGGGAACCGGAAGGTGTGTTCCAACTATAGGGGGATCACACTCCTCAGCCTCCCTGGTAAGGTCTATTTGGGGGTGCTGGAGAGGAGGGTCTGTCGGATAGTTGAACCTCGGATTCAAGAGGAACAGTGTGGTTTTCGCCCTGGCTGTGGAACAGTGGACCAGCTTTATACTCTCGGCAGGGTCCTGGAGGGTGTGTGGCAGTTTGCCCAACCAGTCTACATGTGCTCTGTGGACTTGGAGAAGGCATTTGACTGCGTCCCTCGGGGAGTCCTGTGGGGAGTGCTCCGGGAGTATAGGGTGCCAGACTGCCTTATAAGGGCTGTTCGGTCCCTGCACAACCGGTGTCAGAGCTTGGTCCGCATTGCCGGCAGTAAGTTGGACTCGTTCCCGGTGAGGGTTGGACTCTGCCAGGGCTGCCCTTTATCACCGATTCTGTTCATAACCTTTATGGACCGAATTTATAGGCGCAGCCAGGGTGTTGAGGGTGTCCGGTTTGGTGACCTCAGGATTAGGTCTCTTCTTTTTGCAGATGATGTGGTTCTGTTGGCCTCATCAGACTGTGACCTGCAGCTCTCACTGGAACAGTTCGCAGCCGAGTGTGAAGCGGCTGGAATGAAAATCAGCACCTTCAAATCCGAGACCATGGTCCTCAGCTGGAAAAGGGTGGAGTCTCATCAACGGACTCGGTGGAGCGGGTGACTCCAACAACCCCTAGACCGCAGAGGATTAAACCCCATGTACGCACTTTTTTTACGAAGATTCTGACATTCAGCAATGTTTTCTTATCTGAATTTGTTCTTAGCTAAGAACAGAATCTACGCACACTCAAGACCATTCGTACGCACATTTGAGTAGTGATAGTTTGTTCAAAATAATCGGTTAGAGCAGTTTTGTTCATAAAATGAAAGTATTTGAACAATTTATAAAAGTTAAATACAGAAATAATTTTGTAAGTGTAAAAATTATTTTCATGGTAGTAATGCCGATCATGCAGATTATAAATAGGTCTGTTTCTGCGCATTGGCCTTGCTATCAAAATGGCATTTCTCTTACTTCTTGAAGAGCTTGCCAATCGTGCTCTGAGAAGGGAACGCATGTTTGAAGATCATTTAGATTTATTTGGCACACAGCATTCACAGAGAAGGTGATATCTTTTCATGTATCAGCTTTCTTGGGGGCTTTATATCCACTGGTTACGCTACTAAATAACATGTGTCTATTTGTATTTACCTCCTGTACAGTAAGATCCATCATCCAGTTATAACGGACTTCAAGGGACCTGACAAAACAGTCCGTTATATCCAAAGTCCATTATATGCAGAGTTGCTGTATGTCCGGAACACAACTACAGGACACCATTTACTCATGCCACACCCCATTATGTCACGCCCAGCTCCGTCCGATCCTCGTGTGTGCCACGCCCAGCTCGTTACCTCGTGTTAATCCCTGATTGTCATCATCTGTTTCCTGTTCCTTTTGACTTGTCTGGTGTATATTAGTCCGCGTCTCCCACTGTCTCGGAGATCCGTCATTGTATTGTTTCATGTTCGTGGCCTGTCGTCTCCATTAAACCCCGTATTCCTGAAATCACGGCTCTCTCGTCTACTCCCTCATTCGCCGGTCCGCCGAACGTGACTTATTATATTGTACATGCAGTAATCCAACTTTACCTCTGCAGATGCGTTACTATTAATAATCTCGACTACGTATCTGCGCTGGACATCACCGGCACGCCACGTGCTTTGTCGGTGGAGCTGCATGTCCGTTTTAGCCAAATAAAACTACAGCTAAAAGCGGCACTGGGGACTAAATTGCTTGTCCTTCATAAGCGAAATTCCGTTAAATGCGAGTCCGCTATATCCGATACTTTTTCTGCATATTCTTAAAGATGCACGGCCGGGACCAGTGGATAGAGGATATTCTGTTAAATGCGAGTCCACTATAAAAGGATTTTACTGTATTAATACTTCTACTTTAGCATTACTGAAGTTTTTTTTCCTCTTAGTGTCAAGCGGCTCACAACCTGAGTGCCTCTTTGCCATTCCTTGCACACGGCCCTACAGTCTCATGCCCTTTTATGGGATAATTGCAGGGCGTTTCCCTATGCTAATTAGGACAAACTGGCACGCGCTTTCAGTTACGAAGACGTGGGATTCACTATTCTTAAGAACAAAGGTGTGAACAATTCTGCTACTTAAGAACACGTCATGAATCCGATGTAGGTTGTTCTTAACAAATTTCACAGGAACAAATTTAAGAGAATTCTTAAAAAAATATTGGTGAATGAGGCCCAATGTGTACAGCCGTCTTTTGATTCTGGCATTTTCCCTTTGTGTACAATTTAACCGGGACGTTAGAGCACAATGAAACTGGTTTAGAGGAGTCTAGTGTAGTAGTGTAGTACGCTGGTGTAGTAGTAATGACTTTCTCGATGCTTCTAGTCAGAGCTGAGACTTGTGCCGTCAGTTCGTGGATGGCTTCACGAATGACTTGGACTTCAGCTTGAGTTTCAGGCCAACTCCCCGTGTCAACGGCTTCACACTGACACTGACAGTCTTAGTTTCTTGTGCGTGACCTAGGTGTTTCTGCCGCTCCGATTCTTCACTAATTGTGTTACTAGGTCTAGTATAAAGTCATTAATGATTGTTAAATTCGAAACATGGGGTCTCATTTCTCGCCTAATATAGGCATATTTGTCACCAAGATCCTGATAAAGTGAATGGAGAAAAACTCCCTGTTCCAAATTACTGTCATATTGAAACTCAGATCTACTCTGTTGTGAAGCAAATAGTACTCGCTGCTTTAATCCAACCAGTCTATAGACAAACTGTTGTGGGGTTTTCTTGTCATTTTGCTTAGCACTGTTGAGTTCCTGGAACAACTCAGTACTTCCTTTGTCCCTAAGGTGGACTCGTAAGAGACGTTTAAGTATAGCTATGGGGAGATTTTCTCTAATTACCAGCATCTCTTTGAATACTCCAGGCTTGATAACCTTAAGGACCGTTCTAATAACTTCTGCTTCAGTAAACCTCTCAGCCAACCCCTCATCAATTTGCCTGCGGACATTACCATAACTTAAATCAAGAATCGGAATCAGAAATCATTCCTCCATGTATCCTAAATTCCCGGCACGGCAACAAAGCGGCTACTTTTGTTAGCGTCAGTGCGCTGGATGCGGAGTCAGTTACGTGTGTTTCTACAGAGTCTCTTGGTGACTGTGCAAAACTGACAAGTGTTGACTTCCTCTGATGAGCTGCAGCTGCTTCCACAACCGTAGCCTCTCGTATCACTGCAGACCTCATGTTGTCCTGTAAAACAGGATCAGCATCTTTACCTGGTGGTTGCAGATCGTTGATGAGACCATGGAAGGCAAGCAGACGGGACAGCCCTTGGTCCTCCAGACTACGCAGTTGCTCACTCCTAAGGAACCCCATAATGTAGTCGAAGAGTTCCACTGTTGCTGCGTCTCTTTCTGGCAATTCCTCCGCCACCTCATCTTTACAGGATGCTGCAAGGCGATACAGGACCTCCGTGTCTGCAGCACGGATCAACTGGAGCAGTTTTCCCTGGATGTCTTGTCGCACTTCTCGAAGAGTAGTCATCGTTGTCTGCGAAATCTGTCAGGTGATCGATTCAATAAAAAAATCTGGATCCCACGATTCTTAGGTTAGCACTGGCAGAACCATGCAAATCCCGGACGAGCCCCCAAATTTGTAACAAGCCTAGCTGAAAGGCCAGGCCAGTGTACTCCAAAAAAAAAAGAAATAAGGCGACAGAGTCCTATGTTGGGAGAGAAAAACAGCACACGTTTAAGCAACAGTGCTTCAGTGCAGGATTTTTTCAAGATCATTTCTCAAACTTACAGTAGAAACAGCTTAATACAAAAAAAAGAAAATGCAATATATCTGCACAACAGTATGTAAATATTGTAATACTGCAATAGATATATAAGCATTAATCACATTTCAATTATTATGGAAAGATTACAATAACCCTCTAGTGCAATCAATATCTCGTGTTCACAATTCAAATGAGTATGTATATATATATATATACACTCACCTAAAGGATTATTAGGAACACCTGTTCAATTTCCCATTAATGCAATTATCT